GTTGTTGTTGTTGTTATGTGCCGTCGAGTCGGCCCCGACTCATAGCGACCCCTCCTTGGGTTTCCGAGGCAGTATCACTACGGAAGTAGAATTGCCCAACCTTCCTTAAAAGGAGTGGCTGGTGGGTTTGAATCGCCAGCCTTCTGGTTAGCAGTCAAGTGCTTTAGCCACTATGCTACCAGAGCTCCTAGATTAGTAACTAGTAAGCAAAACAGTTTCTTTTTCATATGTAGAATTCATGGGCTGTGATAAGTGTAAGCTAAGCCAGTAGAGAATGTGCTAAGCCAGTAGAGAATGTGCTAAACATAGAGAGTGACACCTAATAGCCTTGAGGCACCTAAGAACTAATATACTAATGTCCATAATATACTAGTCATACATGATTATAAGAGAAACTAAATTGAGGGTACATGAGCACTTAATATTTATGAGCCTTTAATTTGGCTGTCCATTAGTATATCCATTCTGATCCCATGTGTGCTCTGCCTAAGGAATACAAATAAAACCTACTGAGTTCCTACAGAAGGGATGGATGAGATTTGATTTTTGCAGAAGTCACTTAAAAATTACAAGTCCAAAACAGAACAAGCGGGTTTAGTGTAGCAATTTTGATTTCATGAAGCATTTCAAGTTTGCTTTACAACTTTCCTTGAGTGTTTTCCAGTACAAAATCAATGTTCTACCTACTATTTGCAGCTCTCTGCTTCCAATACTGAGAGAGGACAATAGTAAGGAATAGTGCAGTTGGCATTAGCAGCTTCACAAATCTTCACAATAGGGAATAAGGACAAAAGCCATTTATCTACTATAGCATGAAAACATGAGCAGATGGCAAATACCCAAAAATATATATGTGGAAGTTACTTTGGGAATCTCAAAATTTTGAAAACTCGTAATACATAGCAATGGAAGCAAGTTTGAGTACCCAAATGAAGATTTCAACTTCCAAATCAGTTTATATATAAAACCAAAAGCAAACTCATTTCCACTGAGTCAATTTCAACTCATAGGACCCCCACTGAGTTTCCAAGGCTACAAATCTTTATGGAAGCAGACTCCATGGAGCAGCTGGTGGGTTTGAACCACTGACCTTTTTTGGTTAGCAGCTGTGGTAATTAAGGTTATGTGTCAACTTGGATGGGCCTGGTTTTGAGTAGCTGGGCAGCTGGATGTAGTTACTTCCCATGATGAGAATGATAATCAGCTCCATGGTGGAATCTACTGGGAGCAGCTGGGTAGTTGCCTTAGAGATGTGGTCTGCTTCCAGTATATAAGAAGCAGTTTTGAGAAAGGTCTTGAGCTTTTTTTGTTGTTGTTGTTGCACATTTGGATCCTGCATTTAGCCAAGTCTTCATTCAGTGGCCTAACATGTGGTCTTCCAATCTTGGGACTGTTTCTGGACTTGAACTAGTGGTCTGCTATGTTGCCTGATAATCTTGGGACTATGCCATTTTACTTGTTGACCTACGGTTTGTCACCCTCAGCAGCCAGCAGCTGCCTAAGTTAAGAGATGCCTCCATCTCCAGTGTGCTGGGAGTAAGAGGCAGAGCTGAAGTCCAAGGTCAAGAGGCTTTCCCCCAATCCCTATAGCTGGCACTTTGAACTCAGACTTTTAGCCTCCTAAAGTGCAAGAGAATAAATCCCTGTTTGTTAAAGCCATCCACCTGTGTGGTATTTTCTGTAAGAGTGGCACTAGAGGACCAAAACAGCAGCCAAATGCCTTAACCACTACACTACCAGAGCTCCTTCAGTTTATGTATATGAAGCATTAATAAAGTGCAATGTTGCACAAATAGGACAGTATGGAAATGTATTACATTTAAGATAGATTTGAAACTCTTAAAAATTGCTGTATATTGCCTTACCTGGGAGCTCTGGTGGTGTAGTACCTAAGGCATGTGACTGCTAACCAGAAGGCTGATGGTTCAAACCTACCAGCCACTCCTCAGAAGGAAAACTGGGCAATCTATTGCCATAGAGATACTGCCTCAGAAGCCCAAGGAGGGGTCACTATGAGTCGAATTGACTCAATGGCAGTGAGTTTTTTTTTTTAAATTGCCTTACCTATTGACTGTTGTTTTTCTGGTAGGAATATTATAGGCACTCAGTATTCTGACAAGAATCTTAACGTCTCCATGAGAGATAGTCTGTGCTGCAAGTTTCTTCCTTTCTTTCCTTTGAGGCTTTAACTTTCTTCGTCGTTCAACAAGCTTACAAATTGCATGTGTCAACTGGCTAAAGAGTAAAAAACAATCAGCTCTGTATGAACAAAACAGCTTGTTTTAAAAGGTATTGATTTTTTTCATTAATAGCTGTAAATAAGGGCATTATTCTGAACCATATGGGGGAGAAAAAGGCATCTCTCTGAGCATAGAGAGGAGACACTATGTACACTGATGTTGAGAGAGAATGTTATTGCTCCATGCCCTTTAGGTACACCATCCAAGAAGGGACAAGAGATTGGAGAGGTAAAGCCATGAAACATCATGCTCTTTCAGAAGATTATTCATTTTTCAGGAATTATTCTCTTGAAAGTTTTTGGGTACTCAGATTTTCTACATGGCTCTGAAACAGGATGCCTACTTTGATGACCCAAATCCATAGAATTATACTTTTATGGTCATACATTCCCCACACCCCCAAAGACTGAAGATAAAACTCAATATATTTCAGCATCCTAAACTAACTAAAACCTTATTGTTAATACTAACAACCTGGAAGTGGTCCCCAGGGAAGTTTCCTAGAGACATAGCAGCCTTACCTCTGTTTCTATCCCTAAATTTCACAAATAGGACAATATAAGAATCGAGTTACTTCAACAGACTTGGAGTAATCTCTCAGAGATAGTCAAACACTTTGGGAGAGAGAACCACCGGGTCTGCTGACTCAGGACCATAGTACTGGGGTATACCAGGCTCAATTGGCACAACATAATACATAGTAATCTTGTTCCACAACTTACTTTAGTGAGTAGCGACTGGGGTCTTACTAGCTTTCGAGAGGCCATCTAAGATGCAGCTAATGGTCTCCTCTCATCTGAAGTGAAGAAGAGTGAAGAAAACCAAGGGCATTTGGAAACAATCAGCCCTAGGCTATGATGGACCTCAAGACTGGAAGAACTATATGGTGCCTAGCTACCAATGCCAACCACTTGGGAAGGGATCAAAACTGGAGATCATGGATAGAGTGGGAGGAAAAACATGGAACAAAATTCAAAAACACAATAATAACCAGAATTACTGGTAAAACGAAGTCTGGTGGGACCCCCAAGACTATGGCCCTGGGATACATTTCAGGTCTGGGATAAGACCCACTCCCAACGGCTGGCTCTCAGCCCAAAAGTAGTAAGACTTACTACATGCAGAACACCCAACCCAGGGTGATGCACCCACCTACTCTACCAGAGATATATCCCTTGGAGCAATCGGCCATGGGGCACCAGAGGGGCAGCATTCACATGGAGGGAAAGATGGACAGATAGGAATGCATAACCAAGAAGGGCACAGGAATGGGTGTGGTCACAGGGAAGGAAAAGGAGGAGAGTGGGTTAAGGTTGGGGATGGTAACTGGGGAGTGAAACCAAATGTACACGAACGAACTGTTGAATGTAAAACAAATTCTGCTCTGTAAATTTGCATCCAAAGCACAATTAGTAACAATAATAATGATAAAAAGAATCGAGTTACTTCAGCCAAAGGCTAACTTATTGCTACCTGTGGGTCACAGTACCCTTGAATAGCTGAGGATGCTCAGTTCTGAAAGATCACCGACTTAGTGAGTGGTCCTACCAGCAATGGCTTTTCCAGTAGTCTCAGGACAGGAAAAAGCTCAGGGCAAAAGTAATTTGGGATAAAGGTGTTTCTTTTATTTTTCTTTCTTGTCCTATAAACTATCGACAGGAGAAGGAGGAAAAACTACCCTAAAAGACTATACAATTGAAAATATATATCATGTGGATATATCCAAAAGGCAATTTTAAAATGACCAAATATATTTTAAGTCACTACATCTTTCTTTATGCTCTGAAACTGCATCTTTTGACTTTAGACTTAATATAAAAAATAGAGGATTTATTGTTGTTGTGTTGTTGTTATGAGCCATCGAGTTGGCCCTGACTCACAGCGACCCCTCCTTGGGTTTCCAAGAAGGTATTAGTGTAAAGCTTTATAATACATTTCACATTTAAA